CCTTCCTTCCTTCCTTCCTTCCTTCCTTCCTTCCTTCTTTCCACAGGGTTTCGCTCTGTCACCTAGGCTGAAGTGCAGTGATGTGATCTTGGCTCACTGCAGCCTCAGCCTTCTAGGCTCAAACCATCCTCCTAACCTCAGCCTCCCGAGTAGTTGGGACCACAGGTGTGCCTCACCACGACGGGCTAATTTTTGTATTTTTAGTAGAGACTGGGTTCCATCATGTTGCCCAGGCTGGCCTCGAACTCCTGGGCTCGAGTGATCTGCCTGCCTCGACCTCTCAAAGTGCTGGGATTATAGGTGTGAGCCACCGCGCCAGGCCCATTATTATAATTTCTATGCTTATCACTCCATTCATTGTCTAACTGAGCCAGAAGCCAGGTGTCCTTCCTTGTCCCCATAGGCTTTGACCAAGTGCGTCTCTCTTCCCTCACATCCTGCCCACAGGTCTCCTCTCTGGGAGTCACGACTTTCAGCCTCTGTGCCCTGGGCATTGACCGCTTCCACGTGGCCACCAGCACCCTGCCCAAGGTGAGGCCCATCGAGCGGTGCCGATCTATCCTGGCCAAGCTGGCTGTCATCTGGGTGGGCTCCATGACGCTGGCCGTGCCCGAGCTCCTGCTGTGGCAGCTGGCACAGGAGCCTGCCCCCACCATGGGCACCCTGGACTCGTGCATCATGAAACCCTCAGCCAGCCTGCCCGAGTCCCTGTACTCACTGGTGATGACCTACCAGAACGCCCGCATGTGGTGGTACTTTGGCTGCTACTTCTGTCTGCCCATCCTCTTCACGGTCACCTGCCAGCTGGTGACGTGGCGGGTGCGAGGCCCTCCGGGGAGGAAGTCGGAGTGCAGGGCCAGCAAGCACGAGCAGTGTGAGAGCCAGCTCAACAGCACCGTGGTGGGCCTGACCGTGGTCTACGCCTTCTGCACCCTCCCAGAGAACGTCTGCAACATTGTGGTGGCCTACCTCTCCACCGAGCTGACCCGCCAGACCCTGGACCTCCTGGGCCTCATCAACCAGTTCTCTGCCTTCTTCAAGGGCGCCATCACCCCGGTGCTGCTCCTATGCATCTGCAGGCCGCTGGGCCGGGCCTTCCTGGACTGCTGCTGCTGCTGCTGCTGTGAGGAGTGTGGCGGGGCTTCGGAGGCCTCGGCCGCCAGTGGCTCGGACAACAAGCTCAAGACCGAGGTGTCCTCTTCCATCTACTTCCACAAGCCCAGGGAGTCACCCCCGCTCCTGCCCCTGGGCACACCTTGCTGAGGCTCCAGCAGGGGTGGGGAGGGAGGGAGGGGCCGCCACCCCCGCCGGTGTCTGCTGTTCTTTCCCCATAGGTCTTGCTTTGCTGCCTGTCTTGCTGTCTAGAGATGGACTTGGTTCCTCTTGTCAAGGTTTGGGAATGTCAAAGCCCCCTCCCCACGCAGGGCCTTTCCTGTCCCTTGTGGGGCCTTCCAACCCTGTCCTTTCCACTGGTGGGTGGTGATGCTTCTAGGTCCTTAGAACTGCCCAGAAACTCTGCGTCCCAGCAGCTGGGAGCCAGAACTTTGCCTGCCCTCCCTTGGTTGCAGTCTCTCTTCTTGCTCTCTGCCTTGTAACCTGACCATACTTTAGTTGTGCCCTTCCCAGGCATCACCTTCCAACCCCCAACCTGGGGCTCCATCTTGGAATGGGGGCTCCTTGCGGGCTCCAGCTCAATGTGGCTCACCACACTCTTCTTTTTGTTTTCTTTTCTTTTTTTTTTTTTGAGACAGAATCTTGCTCTGTTGCCCAGGCTGGAGTACAGTGGCCTGATGTCAGCTCTCTGCAACCTCTGCCTCCTGGGTTCAAGCGATTCTCCTGCCTCAGCCTCCTGAGTAGCTGGGATTACAGGTGTGCACCACCACACCCGGCTGATATTTGTATCTGTAGAAGAGATGGGGTTTCATCATGTTGGCCAGGCTGGCGTTGAACTCCTGACCTCAAGTGATCTGCTTACCTTGGCCTCCCAAAGTGCTGGGATTATAGGTGTGAGCTGCCGCGCCCGGCCTCAATACACTCTTCTCTGGACCGGATCTGTCCCAGCCCTGGATGCCTCCTCCTACTGGTGCCTTCTTTTCTTCCAGAGGATTTCTCTCTCCTTCCTCCTCCTTTCTTTGGGATCCCCTGGTTGCCCTATCCCAATCTCCCTGTTAGGTGCTTTCCCATAGGAGGCCCTTCCTGAGAAACAATAAACTAGGTAGAACTATCCCTACACCCATCCACTTTCTTGTGCCACATTCTGGCAGGGCCCAGATGCACCTGGGCCTTCCTGGCCTGGCAATGCCTAGGGGAATTTCTGCTGACCTGGCCTGGCCTGTGGCTGATGTTCAGAACAGCCCTGTGGCTCTGGGGACTCCAAGGGTTTTATGGCTTTTGAGGGACAGAGAGGATGGAGGGCTTGGGGAGCCGGGGGACCTAAGTTCTCATCCTGGTCTAAACCCCATGCTCCTTGGGAAGTCAAAAGCCTGGAAAATCTCTCTCCTGGAGCCCTCGTCTCTGCTATGCCCTCTCTCCACAAAGCCCCCCTTGGAGGGAGGCCAGTGCTCTTTCCTCTGTGAGCCCCAGGACTTCCCAACCTTTGTCACTCTGAGAGCCGCTCTTGTTCAGTTTCTTAGAATGGACTGTTCTGCCTGTAGACGGCCCAGCTGCCTGCCCCGGCCTGCCCCCGCCCAGCCCCCACTGCACCACCCTTCCCGCCAGAGCTCCCACTGCCCCCGGCAGACGCTTCATGCAGCTCCTCCTGTGGGGTCTTGCCCTTGAAGTCCCACTTCCCCCAGCCCCACCTCTGGGCCCTTCCAGAGGGCACCATTAGCCTTGTGGGTCCCTGGGAAGCTGGCACAGCATCAAACAGAAGTGATGCCTCAGCCAGGCTACCAATCACTCCCTGCCTGGGAGCTCAGCTTTCCTCAGAACCGCCGCCCCTGTCTGAAGCTCTGTCGTGGGTCCCGCCAGACTTCTGCCCACCAGGCCTACCTAGAACTTCCACATGGGGCCTCAGGAAGGGTCCCGGGGGCCCAGGGACGGGCAGAGGCAGGGGTTCCGAGCACCCAGGGCTCCATTCTCCTCTGTCCACCCACCCACACTCCTTGGCCTCAGCCTGCCCTGTACCCAAGCTTCCCTCCCCCTCTCCTGGGGATCTTAACGGCCTTGTTCTCTCTCCCTGGCACCCACCCCCAGGGCGGGTGATGCCGCCAAGAGAGAGGGAGGCCGTTGCTAGGTGATGGCGCCGCCATGCGCACACCCTTTGTGCTGGGGAGTGACACCCACCCATTTCTCAGCAGACCTGTTGCCACGGTGACTGAAGCCCTCAGCTCTGTCTGTAGAAACTTCAGATGGCTGGGGGAGCAGGTTGGAGAGGGGACCAAAGGCAGGCCTGTCACGCTGAAGCTCCTAGGGACCATTTCCTCCCCATTTCCCCAACTCCTTTTCCACCCCCCGCCAGGCCTGGAGGCACCACCAGCTTCCTAAGGGATGCAGGAAGGGGCCGGGTGAACTGAGGTGAAGTCCAGGGCAGGGGAGGCAGACCCCTCAACATCCTGTTTAGGAGTCCTCCTCCACAAAGGGTGCCCTCCGCCTCTCCCTCCTGCTGGTTGGTCGACTCAGAGATGAAGGGGGAGAGATCGTGGCTCCAAGGCTCTGCCACTGCCACCTCCCAGGCCTGCCAACGTGAATGGCTTGCAGAATCAGTCAGCAGGCCAGCAGTCTTGGGAAAGAGCCACTGTCCCCGCAGCCTGGGCCAGCTGGGGGAACAATGTAGGGTTTGTTGCTTAGGGGTCCTAGGCTTGCGGGGGGGGTTGGCACATGGTGGGCGGTGGACTTGAGCTGGGATGCTCTGAGATGCCACTGACATGCTTGCTCACCCAAGGGCAGACTTCAGACCAGCCCTCAGATCCTGATGCCAGGTTACGGGGATGAGGGGAGCCTGAAATCCACTGCGTCTCCCTGCTCCACTTGGGAGTCACCTTCTCATCACTTATCCTGGAACCTGAGTGCAATTACTTAAACCCAGTCTCAGCTTCCTCATCTGCAAAATGGGAATAATCTGTCCTTCACAGAGGAGTATGGTCATTTAATGAGACAAGATACATAAAGCACTTTGCATAGTGCCCCAAACCTTTTATTCCTTCCTCCCCCTTGGGAATTCAATTCTCCAGTGTGATGGAGCAAGCTTGGCCAGGGGATTCTTAAATGCATCCAGGTTTTGGCATCAAAGGGCCCCAGACGTGACAAATTACCTATACTCATGGTCTGTTCCCTGTTCACCTTTAATAGGTTGTGTGTGTGTGTGTGTGTGTTTTTTTTAAGAGTTGGAGGGGTCTTACTATGTTGCCCAGGCTGGTTTTGAATTCCTGGGCTCAAGCAGTCTTCCTGCCTCAGCCTCCTGAGTAGCTGGGACTACAGGTGTGTACCACCATGCCTGGCTGAACACTTATTTTTTGAAACAGGAGCTCACTCTGTCACTCAAGCTGAGTGCTGTGGTGTGATCATAGCTCATTGCAGCGTCTGTTTCCTGGGCTCACACAATTCTCCTGCCTCAGCTTCCTGAGTAGCTGGGACTGCAGGTGTGCACTACCACGCCTGGCTAATTTTTGATTACTTGTAGAGATAGGGTCTCACTATTTTGTCCAGGCTGGTCTCAAACTCCCGGACTCAAGTGATTCTCCTACCTTGGGCTCCCAAAGTGCTGGGATTACAGGTATGAACCACTGCACCTGGCCCTTGAACAAATTCTTCAAGTCTTATTAGTACCTGCTGCATGCCGGCACTCTGGAAGGAGGATGCTCGCTTGCTTCCTGGTAACCAGGTGTCTTATCTCAAACCTCAGTCCTCACTGAGGATCACAGGATCTAGAAAGGCACCTCGGCCTGGAAACAGCCCCAGATGAGTGAGATTGCTGGTCCTCTCCCAGGATCCCAGGCCCAGGGCAAACCCAGACAAGCTTGCAGCCAGGAGAGGGCAGGGGACAGAGCCCTGGCCCCCCTTCAACCTCCTTAGCCAGGAGGGCATGTCCCATTTTCCTTAGGAGTTGGGAAGTACCCTAGAATCACTTAGCTTTGGATGCCAAATTCCATCCACATTCTTTCCTCCAACTCTCCAGCAGTGGGGAACTGCCTCTCCAGGCAGGGCACTGCTCTGACAGGTCTGATGACTGCCTCCAGGAGGAAGCTCTGGGCACCAATGAAGGTGAGGGGCTGGGGGGCCCAGGATGAGGAGTCAAGATCCCCACTCCCAGGACTATGGGACAATTTGGCTCCTTTTTCCTGCAGTGGGAGGGGTGAGAAGGGCTGGGGTGTTCTGCAGGGGCCTGCTCCATTTTCCAGGGTGAAGGAGAGGCCGAGGGAGGTGGAGCGGGAGGAGGTGGGGCTTACTGTGAAACTGGGTCAAGATGGCCTTGGATTTGAGCAGGCAGGGCCACCAGGCTCTGAGGCAGCAGCTGTGAGCAGTGCCGAGGGAGGACCAGTCTGACGGTGAATGGTGAGGTGGTGGGCGGGGGGGCCGACTAGAATGAGGCAGAGGAGCGAGGGCAGGCCTCCTACCAGGAAACCCATAGCATTGGCACTAACTGAGAGGCAGCAAAGGCGGTGACACTCCCCCAGGCTCTGTGGGCCCAGCCCTACCCCTGGAGCACAGTTAGCTGGTTCTGGGGTAGGAACTGGGGGCCAGAGGGACAGGGTGCTGGTTCTGGCTCAACCTTGGCTGCTGGTGAGATCCAGGGCCTGGGAAAGAGGGGCTGAGGCCTGAACTGGGCCTAAGGAGAGCGCAGCTCAGTTCGCACACAAAACAGCACCCAGCCCTGTCCCTTGCCACCTCTACCCAGCCCTGGGCAGTTCCCTCAACAGAGCTTTGCAGCCCCACGTGGCAGCTGCTGGCTCAAAGCTAGCTACATGAAAGTCTGAAAAGAGAATGAGAAGGAGGTGGCGCAAGAGCCTGGACGCACGTGTGGGAGGCCGTTTTGTGCAGCGCCATTGTGCTCCCCGGGCGGGCACGTGCTCGCGCTCCGTGGCTCTGTTGGTGCCCAGTGTGCAGGGGTGTGCTGGTGGCCCTGTGGGCCTGTCAGGCAACCCATGCCAACTGCGGAGAAGTAACCGGCACCACACACCCCCCCAACACAAAACTGGTCATTTATTTTTGTTGTTGTCATTGTTATTAGGAGGCAAAAAAATGTACAGTTACAAGAATCATTTTCCAAACAGAGGTTAAATATGAGCTGAAAAGTGTAAAAAAGGAAGAGGAACATCACTTTACAAATCATTAAATTAAACAAATAAACAAACAGAACCCAAAGAACCAACCCCCCATGCTGAGTTCTCTCCTTGTGCAACTCTGCAAAATGAGAACAGAAAATGAAGTGAGCCGTGGAGGTGGGGGCCCTGGGGAGGGGCGGGAGCTGGGAGCCAGGAGCAGGCAGGAGGGGGCTGCTGGGGCATGGATGCTGGCTTTCTGCCCCGTGCACCTGGTGGTTTCTGGTACCTGGTCGTACCTGGTGGCTCTACCCAGGCTGGGGACCGAGGGGAGGGGCCCCCGGAGGCCCTTGCTAGCCTGTGGGGTTCAAGCACTGCCAGGACAAGCCAGACTGGGCGGTGGAAACACACGGGACAGGGGGGCGGCCACCAGTGCCCAGGCTGGTACCTGCCGCAGGTGCCAGTCTCCACCTCTCCTGATCTGAACTTGCCCCAAGTCCACCTGCGTCTCCCTCCTTTTCTCCAGACTCTGCCCCCTCCCAGGTCCTGAAAGGGATGCCCTGCAGCATCAAATGGTTGATTTTAGTCTTTGCTTAAATTAAAAAATTAAAATATATATACATATATATACTGTACACACAGGACGATAACAGAGAGTGTTGAAAAGGGAGGTGCAGGAGTGGCTCTGACTCAGAAAAGCCAGGGGCGGGGGCTGTGGCCCAGGGTTGTTGGGAGGGAGGCAGGGCTGGGTGATGGGACAAAGGCAGCAGGGAAGGGTGAGAAGTTAGGGGACCAGAATGGGGGGCAATGTATTTTACAATAAAAACAGGAGTTCAAACCTCAGCAGAACAGGACTCTGGGGTCCCCAGAGGGCCCTCCTCACACTGGGTGAGGAGGGGTGGGCTTAGGGGGACGACGGGGGTGGGCGGGGAGCTCGGCTTCAGGTTTAGATGACGACGGTCCCTGGTCTGAGGGAGAAGGGCTGGAGTCTCAGCTTCTCCGTGACTTTGAGTGTTGAATAAGCCACTGTAGGGTGATGTCTGAGAGGTGAAAAGAGAACAGCTTATAAGGCCTGCAAGTGCTGGCCATGCTGGGGCAGCAGAGGCCTAAGAAACCAAACCTAAGGGTATCACAAGTCCAGAGGTGCCAGGAGGGATGGCGCACACCTGGAGTCCCAGCTACGTGGGACGCTCAGGTGGGAGGATTGCTTGAACCCAGGAGTGGAGTTGGAGGCTGCAGTGAGCTATGATCACTCCACGGAACTCCAGCCTGGGTGACAGAGCGAGACACTTTCTCAAAAACAAACAAACAAGAAGTCCAGAGCTGGCAAGCGCCACACGGCCCTGAACAAGTAGTAGCGGAATCCAGGTGCTGGGAAAGAGACAGAGCCACAGCATGTCAGAGCCAGCAGGGACCTGAGAATCACGGGGTCCAGCCCTAGAATCTTAGAAGTGAGGCGGTGAAGCCCAGAGCAGGGATCGATTTCAACCCCAAGATCATACAACCACTTGGGGACGAGCTGGGACAGTGCCCAGAATCTGGGCCGCCCGGCTGCCTTTTCTACCCAAGAGCCACAGGGCTTTGGACTTAAAGGAAAGTTGTGGAGCGAGAACCTTTGAGAGCCACTAAAACACCCAGAAATGCCTCTCCCCTCTCCTCCCCTTTCCCCAATCCTACGCACCAATGTTGTCCTTTTCTTTGCAGGAGATGGAGTAGCAGCAGATCTCTCGGTCCTGGATGGCAGACAGATTCCTGGGGGAAACCAGAGTAGAGTCCACTGAGGCTACGCACGTCCAGGGGGCCTGGGACTAGGGGACAGCAGGGCCTTTTTCTTTTTTTTCTTTTTTTTTGCGAGATGGAGTTTCGCTTTTGTTGCCCAGGCTGGAGTACAGTGGCCAGATCTCAGCTCACTGCAAGCTCCGCCTCCCGAGTTTAGGCCATTCTCCTGCCTCAGCCTCCCGAGTAGCTGGGACTACAGGTGCCCGCCACCTCGCCCGGCTAGTTTTTTGTATTTTTTTAGTAGAGACGGGGGTTTCACCGGGTTAGCCAGGATGGTCTCGATCTCCCGACCTCGTGATCCGCCCGTCTCGGCCTCCCAAAGTGCTGGGATTACAGGCTTGAGCCACCGCGCCCGGCCAGCAGGGCCTTTTTCTTAAGACGCTACAATGGGGAGGGTGAGGTGCCTGAAAAGGTGGGCTCTGCTGCCACCGTGTGGCTAATACTAAGAACAGCAGCAAGCCTAGGCTGTTGGACTGGTGGTTGGGGAATTGGGAGAGCAGAAAGTAATATAAAGAGCCACCCAACTCACATTTTCTCAATCAGCTCCTTCTCATCCAATGCTCCCGGAAGGTCTCGCTTGTTACCCAGGACTAAGACCTATGGAGAAGCGAGGGTGAGGATGAGGTCTAGGGCAGCTGTGCCCAGGTTGTCTGGGCAGTGAGCTGGCCTCCTGGGTCCCGTTTCCTCTCTGCACCCCTACTATGCCTGGCTTTTACCTGCCCCCAGTGACTTCCCAGCCGAGCTCCCTCCCCATCCCGCTCCCACAGGTCTGCTGACCGGGATGCCCTGCAGCTGAGGTTTGTCCAGTAGGTTGTGGAGCTCGTTCTTAGAGGCCTCAATCTTCTCCTGGTCAGCAGCATCCACCATGTACCTGGGGAAAAGGGCAGGGTGGGGACAAGCATGTTGACACCACAGGCTGGGGTGGTGCAAGGAAGAGAAGAAGCTGCTGCTTGGAGGCCAAAGCATCTGTTGCAGCTTGGTCACTTCAGGATCCATGGGCTACCTGGCCTGGCTCAAGGCAGGTGCTCCGCGGATGTTTTCTGAGTCTATGGGAGTGAAGAGCTGCGGGGACTCCTGGGGCCTGCCATTAGCCTCCAAGTGCTACTCTGGGGAAGCCATTACTCATGTGGAAAAGCATGGGCCCTCTGGAATTAGCTGTAAGACCCTCTCAAAGTGACCCACTTATGTTTTCATGGAAAGACTAAATAAGGTTAGAGTGAAAAAAGCAAAGGAAAGCTTAGAAGATTTCTTTTAGCAAGATACTTTTTGTTATCAGGTTAAAAAGCAACCTATTGTTTATTCTAAACGATCTATTGTTTGGGCATATATATGTAATACATTTTATTATTATTATTAATATCATTTTTGAGATGGAGTCTCACTCTGTTGCCAGGCTGGAGTGCAGTGGTGCAATCTCAGCTCACTGCCACCTCCGCCTGCCAGGTTCAAGTGATTCTCCTACCTCAACCTCCCAAGTAGCTGGGACTACAGGTGCATGCCGCCACGCATGGCTAATTTTTTCTATTTTCAGTAGAGATGGGGTTTCACCATGTTAGCCAGGATGACCTCGATCTCCTGACCTTGTGATCCACCCGCCTTGGGCTCCCAAAGTGCTGGGATTACAGGTGTGAGCCACCGCACCCGGCCTATTAGTTTTTGAGACAGGGTCTCACTCTGTCATCCAGGGTGGAGTGCAGTGGTGCAATTACAGCTCATTGCAGCCTCAGCTTCCCGGACTCAAGAGATCCTCCCGTCTCAGTCGTCTGAGTAGATGGGACTACAGGTGCGTGCCACCAGGCTCAGCTAATTTTTGTACTTTTGTAGAGATAGGGTTGCGCCATGTTACCCAGGTTGGTTTTGAACTTCTGATCTCAAGTGATCTGCCTGCCTTGGCCTCCCACTGTGCCCTGCCATTTTTCAATGTTTAAAATTTATTTTATTTTATTTTCTTAAAGACAGGATCTTGCTATGTTGCCTAGGCTGGCCTTAAACTCCTGGGCTCAAGCAATCTTCCTGCCTCAGCCTCCCAAGTAGCTGGGATTACAGGTGTGTGGCACCATGCTCAGCCAAAAAAACATTATTTTTAAAAAGCAAGAGAGGGCTGGGCGCAGCGGCTCATGCATGTAATTTGGGAGGCTGAGATGGGCAGATCACCTGAGGTCGGGAGTTCGAGACCAGCCTAACCAACATGGAGAAACCCCGTCTCTACGAAAAACACAAAATTAGCTAGGCGTGATGGAGTATGCCTGTAATCCCAGCTACTCAGGAGGCTGAGGCAGGAGAATTGCTTGAACCTGGGAGGCAGGAGGTTGCAGTGAGCCAAGATCACGCCAT